AGGAGCTGCAAGCAAGCGATGTTTTAAGTGTCAAGGACTCGGGCATTTTGCTGCTGATTGTCCGAACCGACAGTTTGTGACACTTGTAGATAATCCAACTTTCGATGAAGACCCAATTTATGATGAATCAGAAGGCGAGCAAGCAGATGCAGATCCAGATCCGGAGGACATTATCTATGCCGATTCTGGTGAGTCTTTAGTTGTGCGTCGGGTTTTAAATATTGCTGAGGTAGATGATGAATCGTGGCTCAGGCATAATATATTTCATACTAAGTGCACTAGTGGGGGAAAGGTGTGTAGTATGATCATTGATGGGGGAAGTTGTGAGAATGTAATATCTACCATTATGGTAGAAAAGTTGGGGTTGAAAACTGTCGAACATCCTCAGCCATATAAGCTGTCATGGCTTAGGAAGGGGAATGAGGTAAAAGTGAGCAAGAGGTGCTTAGTGCAGTTCTCGATTGGGAAGAAATATACTGATGAAGTGTGGGGTGACGTAGTTCCAATGGATGCTTGTCATATTCTGTTGGGGAGGCCTTGGCAATTTGACAGGAAAACACAGCATGATGGATTCAAAAATACATACACCTTCAAGAAGGATGGCCGGACCATTACTCTGGGTCCTTCAGATTTGAGAAAAGAAGGGAAAAGTAATCTGCTTTCCAAATCAGAGTTCCAGGAGGAGGCGATAAATGCCCCAGAGCTTTTTGCTGTCGTGGTCGTGGAGCAGAATCTTGATAGTCCAGAAATTTCAACTCAAGTTCTACCTATACTTGAGGAGTTTGCTGATGTCGTACCAGAGGAATTGCCACCTGGATTGCCACCCATGAGGGACATTCAGCATTGTATAGATCTCGTTCCAGGAGCTACTATTCCTAACAAGGCAGCTTACAGAATGAATCCTAAGGAGCATGAGGAGATGCAGAGGCAAGTGCATGAACTATTAGAAAAAGGTGCAATTCGAGAGAGCATGAGCCCTTGTGCAGTGCCAGCTTTGTTGGTTCCTAAGAAGGACGGGTCGTGGAGAATGTGCGTGGACAGCAGAGCTGTTAACAAGATCACGATCAGGTATCGCTTTCCTATTCCGAGGTTTGATGATTTAATTGATCAACTGCATGGAGCGACTATCTTTTCGAAGATAGACTTGAGGAGTGGATATTAACATATTAGGGTGCGTCCTCAATATGAGTGGAAGACCGCTTTTAAAACTCGAGATGGTCTGTATGAGTGGATGGTGATGCCTTTCGGGTTGTCTAACGCACCGAGCACCTTTATGAGATTGATGAATCAGGTGTTTCGTCCTTTTATTGGCCAGTTTGTCGTCGTATATTTCGATGATATTTTGGTTTATAGTGTATCGACTGATCAACACTTGCAGCATTTGAGAATGGTGTTTGAGACGTTGAGGGAACAGAAATTATACGCTAATACCAAGAAGTGTCACTTCTTGACTGATCGTGTGACCTTTTTGGGCTATATAGTAACTAAGGAAGGCATTCATATGGACCCAACTAAGGTTGAGGCTATTACAAATTGGGAGATTCCGAAAAATATTCATGAGGTACGTAGCTTTCATGGGCTTGCGTCTTTTTATCGGAGATTTATTCGGGATTTCAGTACTATTATTCCACCTCTGACGGATTGTCTGAAAGGAAGTAAATTTGTGTGGACTAAGGAGGCAGAAGCTGCCTTTCAATTATTAAAGAAGAAGGTGACTGAAGCACCTGTTCTCGTGCTTCCTGATTTTAATGAGATTTTTGAGGTGCATTGTGATGCTTCAGGTGTGGGTATTGGGGGTGTCCTAAGTCAAAAATGTAAACCCGTGGCATTCTTTAGTGAGAAGTTGAATGAGGCGAAAAGGAAATATTCAACTTATGATAAAGAATTTTATGCTATTGTGAGGAGTTTGGAGCATTGGAGGCACTACCTTATTTCGAAAGAGTTTATCTTGTTTTCTGATCATGAAGCCTTGAAATATATCAATGGGCAGCACAAATTGAATGCAAGGCATGCAAAGTGGGTGGAGTTCCTTCAAGTTTTCAGTTTTTCCATCAAGCATAAGGCAGGAGTGCTAAATAGTGTGGCAGATGCATTGAGCCGAAAACACTCTTTGCTGTCTACGATGAAGGTAAAAGTTCTAGGCTTTGACACTTTTAAAGATTTATATGTTGATGATCCTCATTTTGGGGATATCTGGAGGAAGAGCAAAACGGAGCCTTTTCAGCAATTTCAGATCGTGAAGGGTTACCTATTTAAAGGTAACAGATTGTGCATTCCTCAATGTTCTTTGAGGGAATCTATTATTATTGAGGGACATGCGGGTGGTTTAGCTGGGCACTTTGGCGTGGATAAAACGAAGGCCTTGTTGAGTGAACACTTTTATTGGCCTCGGATGGAGCGTGACGTGACACGTTTTATAGAGAGGTGCAGGGTATGTCATGTGGCAAAGACCAAGAGTACTAATGCAGGATTGTATATGCCTCTACCTGTTCCAGTTGCGCCGTGGGAGGATGTCAGTCTTGACTTTGTCTTGGGTTTACCAAGAACGCAACGGAGTAAGGATTCAATAATGGTGGTTGTTGATAGATTCTCGAAGATGACCCACTTTGTCCCGTGTAGCAAGTCCTATGATGCTTCACAGGTTGCTCGATTATTTCTGCAGGAAATTGTTAAGCTGCATGGAATTCCTAAGTCCATTACCTCAGATCGTGATGTGAAATTCGTGAGTCACTTCTGGCGCACTCTTTGGAGGTACATGGGTACAAGTTTGAAATTTAGTTCATCTCATCATCCACAGACTGATGGTCAAACAGAAGTTGTCAATCGAAGCTTAGGGAATTTGCTGTGGAGTTTGATTGGAGATAATCCGCGACAGTGGGACTTGGCATTGCCTCAGGCGGAATTTGCATATAACAGGTCAGAGAACCGAACTACTGGCAAGACTCCTTTCGAAGTGGTTTATGGGCGTAATCCAATTACTCCCTTAGATCTTACACCGATACCAGTTCTCAAGCAATTTAGTTCGGAAGCTGAAGAACATGCAAAGCATATCAAAGAACTGCATTCTCAGGTCCATAATCAGATCAACAGGCAGAACATGAAGTATAAGCAACGCGTGGATATGCGCAGGAAAAGAGTTGTCTTCAAGGAAGGTGATCTAGTTTGGATTCACCTTAGGAAGGAACGATTTCCAGCGGGTAGGTTTGGCAAGCTTCAACCTAGAGCTGATGGACCTTTCAGAGTTTTGGAGCGAATTAGTGACAATGCTTACAAGATCGAATTGCCGGGTAAGTATAATGTATCCGGAACTTTTAATGTAGCAGATTTGTCACCTTACTACCATGAAGAGGAAGAAGATCCTGAGGAGATTGACAACAACAATGAAGGCGAAGCAGATTCGAGGACGAATCTTTCTCTAGCAGGGGAGGATGATGCACCTAACCTAATGGGGACCGGCGGACCCGTTATGCGACTAGACGAATCGGCGGGTTTGAAGTCAATGATGTCGGATTGAGCTCAAATTTGGTCGGCTGAAGCGAAACGGCGTGCTGATCAATACTCACTGCCTTTGGCTGTGACTAACGATGGATTTTCGCGATTCGAGATTGTTTAGATGGGTTTTTCTATTTTTTTAGTATTGTTTTATGGGTTAATTTAGTAAAGGGTAGTTTCGTAATTTTACGTTTTGATGTTTCCTAATCCTAGTAGGGCTTCGTTTGGGGTTATATAAACTTGTTTTAGGGTTTCTTTCAGCAGACTTGGATAATTTTGATTTGATAATCATATTTGGAGGACGAATTGTTCTTCTGACGAATTTTCTTGTTCAGTCAATTTTTCTATCGCGTTTCGGCATCACTAAACTTCTTAATTTCTACTTTTGCTGCAGACATAAGTATAACAACAATATTTCCGAACAGTGATCAAACGAGCAAAGGTCTAAATCAAATCCTTTAATAGCGCACGCGTCTTGATGCTCCGTAACCATACATTGTTCTCTTTCATTTAGTTCCTCCATTTCTACTTTCACTCCAGACGTAAGTGTAGCAACAATATTTCTAATCAGACGAGCAAGAGCTCAAGTAAAATCCAGAAAACTCTAGCCCTAGCTCCGATGCCAATTGTTGTGAAATAATGTAGAAGCTAATGGATTTTGCAATTCAAAAATAATGCAAGAGAACGAAATCACCAAAGAAATCAATGAGGAACAATAAGAACAAGAGAGATTTACTTGATTTGATCCGCGTATAGATACCTACTCCATGGAGAGAGCCGGCCGAAAAGAATTCACAAATCAATTGGAGAATTACAAAATTACCATTGCTCGGTCACTCAAGTATTTACCAGCCCTAAATTACACTAAAACCCATAGTATTTAGCTTCATGTAGTTGTTCGATGAAATAAATCACGGAGAGTTACCCTGCGGCTTCGAAACACTTCTCAAATGATTCCAGGATGTAATTGAACGGATGTGGCAAGTCAAGGCACACGCACATCAACATCAGCACTCAAAGCCACGAGTAAAGCCCTCTCGACCAAAAACAAAGATCCCTCAAACACAATATTTATATAATTGATGAAATTGAGGAAACTTCTTTTTCAGAAGATTTGACCGACTGCAATAGGAAGTTAACACCCTTATTTTTCACTCGATAAAACCGGTAACTTTCCGGACATTCCTAATTAATGACGCCACACTTGGTTACCCAAATAATATAAGCCAAGCTTCCTGTACATATATATACCGGGTCGTGTTTCGCCAAACAGGCTCAAACTCAAAACATATTCTAACAGAATCATTGACAACTCACTTATATAAATAGCCCAATTAAAGTATTCGTAGAGCACATCCAAATATGTCTAGACCTCCATAAACATGCACAAGTCTACGAGCGCATCACAATGAGAAAATCACAACACTTTATATAATTACATAGACACAAGACATGCTAATACTTATTATGCCACAGAAACCTGATGACAGACCAAAGTTGTGGGCTAATTAGTGCTTATTAGGTGTGGCCATGAAAGTGCCATGAAATCCGTACGGCACTCTCTGTGGCAACCTTATCTTCGCCGCCGGCTCGCCTTCGAAATCCTTCACATCGATTATGTGAACCTGCAAGCATGGAGCATGTCCAACATTAATAAATGGCAAAGCACCTTTATTGATCCTCTTTGAAACTCGCGGTCACTAGTGATATAAATCTAAATGCTTTTAGGGACGAGCCAAGAAAAAGTGCAATGGGCAAGTATTTAGGGGGATAAGAAACTTACTTGAGTCTCATCAGACACTTCATTGTGAACAAAAGCTGTAATCCAACCATCATCTTCTTCTTCTCCTTCAGCACTGCCATTTTTAGCGACGAACACACTTCCGCTGCAAAAGTTGCTCTCCCCAAACTCGTGATATTCAACCTTGACTGCCTGTCCATTCTCTCCCTCCTGGTCCAACAGTAATAGACTCTATTCATTAGAAACAAATCGAACTATACTATAAGTACTAAAACAACGAAACAATAGTTGTGGACAACATAAGGTATTTGCAAGCATGTCAGGAAAAAAAAAAACAATTGACTTGAGTGAAAACTTAACATTGGGTCAAGAGGGTATTGACCCGTGATTCATGACCTTTGTCAAAAGGAGCACTTGGCATTTAGGTGGCGTTAGTAAGAGACATGTCCGAACTTTTACAATAATTTTTCATTTTCTGCCTTAAATTACTTAGATTTGTAGCTCCTAATAATGTTAGAAACTTTTGCTGTAGTAATCCTCACAGAACTCTATTGTTTCGTGCTGCAATAATCTTGCATATCTTATCTTTTTTGGTACAGCCAGGCAGATGAAACAAATTATTCTCATCCTTAGCTTATTCTAGCAGACACCTAAGAATATTGCGTGACGAATGTAGAATGATTCAAAAACAAAAAGAGTGGTTTATTGATATCAGAGAGATGTAACTATTCATGAGGTAGATGGCTCAACCTGAGGTTCGTCCAAGTATAATTTTGCCAGACCTCCATACATAGCTAGCCCTGTGATTTAAAAGGATGAAAAATCAGTAAGGACAATATATATTGTTCACGATATTAATCCTACACACTAGTAATTTCACTAGATAAATCCATCATTATTCGTTACCGCAGGTAGAACTTGCCGCTGAATCGACGACTTGAGCAAAGCCGAATTTGTTCTTCAATCCTATGAAATTCTCATTGATGAATGGAAACTCCATGGAGGAGTGAGGGCCACTGAGATTTCTCTCCTTGACATCTCCGGTTGCCATGTTCAATCTCCACTCATACACAGAATGAAAAAGAAAACCTTCTTCTTCATTGCCATTTTTTCCATTTTTTGGAGGTAATTTATATCCTCTTGTGTACCAATCCAACTTGTTCTCACCCCAATCCGGACCCGGGAATATGGATGTCACGGCCCTACAAGCCCTTACCACAACCTGTTTTTCTTAATTAATTGGTGAGAAACACAGGAAATGAAGGATTATGATGTGAAGAAGGCAATTAATACCTCATCTCCATCCTCAAATGTATTGAGGATGTGAAACGTGCTGCATGTTTCTACTTCGAACCATTGGACAGAATCGGCATCGCCGTATCGCAGCATTACTCCAAACCTCGATGTTTTTTCTTTATCATACTTCAACAATCTATTTTGTGAGAAGAACCGACACAACTTTAGGAACTTGTTGATATTAGTATGAACGATCAATCATTTGGGAACATTATTTTTCAATGAGATGTGTACTCACTGGCCTCCCTTGGCAAGTCTTGATATGTCCACTGAAAGAGATTGATCCACTATGATATTGTAACTGAACGAGGAAAACATGATTTAATCTCGAATTTGTCAAGAAATAATTATAATAATATCGATAACGGGCGAAATAATAGTTTGCTAAAACCTTTCTGTGACCCCAATCTCATGGCTGAAGACACCTTTGTCCAATTGGACATCCACCTTATGAAGAAGCTCCTTTCCATCAGCTAAAAACAGGTCAAACTAGGATCAATTAGAGGCTACTAATCTTCAATCACATATTAACTGTACTGTGAACTCATAATCTAAACCATAGTTTATTAAATAAAAAAAATCAACTTATCAGATAAGCATTAAAGGGTAAAGAGTATCACCCTAGCAATTAAAGATAATATATGAGACCCGGACGATCCCATTGTTCGTTGAAGAAAAGCAATTTTCTTTTCTATTCTAGTAGATTTTTGAAGGAAGATGTAGGTGTAAAATAACTCTTAACAAAAAATATTATTAATCACTTGATTCCTTGTAACGTTTTGGTAACTTTCCAACACTTTTACGAAATTATCAACTTTTTTCGACAATTTGCAAATTATAAATTTCTTTTATCTTCTCTAACTTTTAGTTGTCTGTCTTACCAACTCCTTAAATCCCACATTAATAGCTGGTGTGATTCTAGCATCGAATAAAACTGCTAATAAATTTACTAACTTATATATCAATCTAGCAATATTTATTTGAGTGACTTAGCACACTTTTTTCCATTTAAATCAACAACTAGTTTTAGGTTACCAACTCTTTCATATGCCTACAAATCGTTGAAGTTACTTAACTCTTTTTAGAAATTACTGACCTTAATTAAAGTATTTACCAACTTTTCTCCAATTAATTTACTAACTTTCTTTTATTTTACAAACTCTTATTTCAGTTAGTCGTCAAGGCTGATTTAGTTTTCTTAATTGCTAACTTCTCTCATCTCCAATAAAAACTAAATTTTCTCATCTTTTGCATTTACCTTTACTCTAACCGACGGCTAAGTTACCAACTATTATTTAGAATCACCAACCTTTATTTGAGTGACATTTTAACTTTTTCCCAGCTGAATGACCCATTAGGTTTGGTTAGCAACTTTTTAACTCACTTTTCTTATCTATTACCAACTTTCATTTGCTTTCTTATCAACGTCTTACATTTACAATACTTAAATGAATTCATCAACTAAGGTTAGTAGTTTCAAAAAAGAGTTAGTAACCAATTTTAGATCTTAGCTAAATGGGACAAAAGTTAGAGACTCAAGCTAATTTAAGATTAGCTAACCGAGGAAAATTATAAAAATTGATAACTCTATAGAATAATTGGTAAATTAAAAAAAAAATGAACATTAGTAAGTAACTCAAATGACAGTTGGTAATCCAAACTAGTTGGTCACTTAATTTGACAAAAGTTAGTAATTCACTCTAATTTATGTTGGTAATTTCATATAACAGTTACTACATTTGAAGGGCAAGTAAATTATGTAAATAAAGTTGGTAATTTTTTATATTTCATAAAAGTCACCGGTCATTTCTTTTGTTACCAATATTTTTTTGACACTTATAATTAAATATACCAGCAACGGAAAAAAAATTCGTACTTTGGGCATGGAGGAGTAGAATTCTACCTAAAACACTAGTGAATGTAAAAAAGAATGAAAATCCTGTTGAAATTTCGGTTTTCGATAACAACCACTTGGGTAGTAAATTTGCATCGATTGTTGTTAATACTAATTCAAATGTCATTCACGTGCTAGACATATTCATGGGAATCATATGAAACTTGTTCAAACAAATACTTAAAACTAATAACTATACAACTTCTAAGTGACTAAGAAGAGAAGAGATATTACCAGATACCACCCCTACCACAAGGAAAGGTTTCTTGATATCAATCCCCATTATTACAAGTTCGCCACTCCCCGGAGCTTTCTGTTCAATACGTATAATTTTGGAAAACAAACCTCAAAAAGATCCATCAGTACAATAAACATGTATGATTCAATGAAAAATTAAGGTGAAAATAATAGTATACCTTTGGATGGCTAGTGCAAGGTCGATCCCAATCTCCATTGAAGTCCCAAACAGTGAGTGTTTCTAGGGTTTGTGAATCGATCTCGTGAGGCAAGTAATTCTCCGATATCGCGTATAGCTTCCCCAGGTACTCGAACACACTTGTGTTGCACAAGAACTTGTTATCAGCGTTGAGTCTAATCTGTTGAAGCACCGAATCATAAATTTCAAGCTTTTAAACACTTCGGCTCCTTTAACAAAAGGATCTTCACAAAATTGTGTAGGATGTTGTTTAAGTCTATTTAACTTTTTTATTTCATAATTCATATACAAAACAATAAGAAAGAAATTTTCGGGCTTTCATTGTTTGTTGGTTAGTCCGTGACTCTTATACCTTATATCACAATAATGATTTAGATAGAATGTTGATGGGTCCCACCTCACTTGGATTGGGACCCACCTACCAGAAAATCTTTTTAAAAAAAAGGGAGTCGGGCAGTCACGTTTTCATGAAATTCTAATGTGTTGCTCATGACTGGGTACTATAAGTTGACCGGTGTCAATCGTTGACAAGTCTCCTCCGTTAGAGTATTTTCGACATCTCGCTCAATGAGGTTTGACCTATTTTGGTAATCGTGTTGCCTCTAGTGATACTAGAAGAGGCAAGCTGTAATCCTATTTTACATAGCGAGAGTATCTTGGGGAGCTTGCAATGCAATTTTTCCCCGGTTGGGGTCTTCCAAGTCAAATCTTTTGTGCGCCAGTTGTGAATTATCTAGTTCATTTTACTACTGTGGTGTTTGTTGTGTTCATTTGGTCACACGAAGAGGGGACAAGTGAGTCACATAATCTAAATCCTTGTGGACTGTTCGAATGAAACAAGATGAACTTTTAAATAGAACCCTAACAGGCATCTAAAATGTTCCAAGCAATTGCAGATTGATCAAATCATAGACTCATCACATACATGAATGGGCAGAGCAAAGAGCATCTCGAAAATTACCCGATTCAGAGAAAATGCAGCTACAACAGCTAGTGGATCTCCTTCAATGGCAGGGATGAAAGAGGGTTTGTTTCTTTGCTTTTCAAGCTTGAATGTCTCGGACTCGACGTACCTGTTCTTGTAGGAGATGCTCCAGTCTGAGTCACAAGTCTTTTTGAAGAACAATGCATGAAGCATTCCCTCTCCTTCTACCCATGTTTCATTCGTTATTCCTAATGGCGACACTGTGGATTGTAGACATCCAAATTGAGGATTTGGACCTGAAATTGAGGAAATTTTATAATCAAGTTTGATAAATGAAAATTGCCATCAACTTTTTTCTATTAAGAAGATAATAAGCATGATCTTGGATATATGATAACAATGTGCACAACTCGCATATTGCACGAGACATCAGTACCTACGCAACTCTATCTAATGCAAAGATCTATATCTGACATATTTGATTACAGCTGCTCCTATTCGTAAAAGCCTAAATTTTGACACACAATATGCATCATACACGCATACCTAACACGTGAAATCTTATACATATGAAACTTAAATGGCACATAAATTCAGACTAGGTATGTACCGTTTCTAACAAAAACTCCTTCAGGGAAACCAGCTGGTAATTCCCCTTCCAAGCAAGCAACTTCAACAGCTTCTCCAATTTCTTGAACAGGTGCAAAGTTCTTCTGTTCAAGTCATTAGTTCAGAAAAATCAGATATATATGCATCCTTATGTTTCCATATATAGGGATACAATGTTATTCAGAGCACTACGTTGTGTTGGAGCCCTGCTTGCAGTCATTTTTGACCTCAAAATCATTGTTTAGGCATATTTCGAAGTACTATTTTCACATCATTTTTTCCCGTTATTTTAGGCTTTTGTTTATTTTTCTGAATTCTTTACTGTTTAAGGATATTTTTTGGTTTGCTAGTGTCACCTAGGGTTTGCATGGTTTTTATTTGATCTTTTCTATGAATAAGACAACTTTCATCGTACTTTACAAAATACACAAAAGATACTTCTTTCTATTGTTGCCAGTGAGCGTGTGCGCCTGAATGAGTGTTTGCAGATCGACGAACCCGTGTTTACTTATTTGTTGCTGCATGATATGGTGGTGTTATCAACCACGCCAAGATAGGGAAAAAAACTGTTCAAGTTTAGCTTATCAGCATCAGAAAATTTGTTGACGAAGTAACTATGAAATTTTCTGGGTTCTGTGTCACCTCTTCCACAGGCCAATCCCGAAACTGGAAACTTTTAGATGGAGCAAATGAGATATGAGAGAACCTCGCTTCTAATTACCTGAGATGGCAGATAAGGTTGATCCACAAACCGGTACAAGCCATCCACTAAGACATCCAACACAATCCCTGAAGCTTTCTTGACTGTGTTGGATACATCAATCTTCTTCAACGCCAGTTGTTGCTGCAACTCCTTCCAAATAGGCTGTGCTCATGCAATTTTTTCGAAATTAGATCAAACCAGTAATTATTCGAATTAATACCAAAAAAAAACACACACATGATCAAGATCTCTTGTGCGTAAAGATTTGGATTTCGTGTAACACACCTTTAGAGCTGGGGAAATGGACTTTTTAAGGTGATCGAAGGTAGGAGAAACGGAGTGCCTGTTGGTGGATGCATGCACATGCAAAGCGAGAGGAGAGACTGCCATTTTTTGATTCTCTCTTCACGGGTTACATGGTTTCATGTTCTTTATAGAGACAAACAACGCATGTGAATAAATCAAACCAATGACGTAATTAATCTCTTGCTCTCGGCTTGTTCATCTACATATTAAGGAATGACTAAAGAATAGGTGGTCTACCATATTAAATTTGGCGTCACACCACATGTTTTCCTTGAATTTGGCTCGCCTATTTATCTGTCTACATAGCATCGTTAACAAAATCCACTTTCTCACTACACACTTTTTATGTGAAACATCCACTTTCTGTTTAATTAGTTAATGAGTAAATCGAATAGCTACTCTAGTCAAGTTCAAGAAGTTTATTACCACTTTTGACGCATTCTATTTGCCACCTACCTAATCTCAATAGAATATATATCTTTTGAGTGGTTATACTATGCATTGCTAGAACATAACTTTCTCTAATCGGTTTTGATCTCCGTCCACATATCCATTTTTAGTAGGATTTATTTAAGTTACGCCACCATTGTAAATTTTTCTTACACAAAGCATTCATGAGACTGAAGCTCTCAGCTGCTAATGGAACGAGTTCGTTAACCAAAATTTAAAAATTGTACACGTGTCAACATCAGAACCCTGCTTATGTCAGAGAAAACAGCTCTTACATTGCCAACTAAGCAAAATGACTAAAACGTTGTGCGATACCGCCAGATTGCTCCATTTGCAATACCATTATAAAAGAAATACAGATTTAGATACACAGATATGTGGCTAAGATATTCAGTGAAATACTCTAATATAACCTTGGATAAGTGATCACGATGACAGCCAATGACAGATGCTCTATCCAATAAAGAACTGACCGATCAAAAACGACAAAACCCCAGTTGCCCGATGGTGTCGTTGGAATATGCTCTGTCCAATAAATCCACGAAGTCTTGCACATAAGAGACAAAGAGAAGCGAAAGCCCCAGATGTGTGCTTCCCTACAAAGTGTTGTACCAGCAGAATAATCTGCAATTGCCCTGAGAATATTCAAATTGCTTCTTAGTGAAACAAAATTTTCTTTTAGGAAAGATCCACTTCATGCGTGAAGCACATCTTTGGCTGACTAAGAGGAAACTCGATGCGCAGATAGATAGGTAGGCAGATTTTGACAAGATCTGATACTGATAGAATGAGACTAGGGAGGTCGAGAGCACATATATACGAAGATTCGAATGCCCGCATCTCATGTGAAGGTTGACATGCTACCCTCTGGAGCTTTTAGCGATGAAACTGCAGTTTCATAATGGCCGTCAGCGGGAAAACTCAAGTTTTTGTCGCCGAAGGGATTGGATCTTCAGTTTTCATGTGTTAGAATATTTCAAATATTAAATCACGTCTTCATTTAACAGCTGAAACTTTTAAAACTATTGACTGTGATCCCATAAAATTTCACATTGTGAAAGCCGTCATCTGTTTTTTTTTTCTATTTATTTTTAGATGTTGCGGGTTTTGTTTGTGTTGGTGTTGGCTGGTAAGGTGACAACTGACTGTGGCTATATTCCTTTAGTAATGGCAAGAATATGCTATATGAAAACTTGATAGCATCAAGTCAAGCATGCAATTAATTTAGCTCCCATTTGGTAATAATTTATTATTGCCTGCAATTCCATTCTTCTTCACGGATAATCAGATGAATGTTGGTAATTAAATTAGCCCAGAATAGTTCAGGACAATTGCATACTGTACAAACGACCATAATCATAATTTTTTTCAATGTAACTTTGGCTCTTTCCTCAAGCAAACAAGAGCCACTCAAAATCAATAAATAACAAGCCTTTATGTGATAGAGGAGAGTTTACCTGAATGCCAACTATCAATGAAGAAGGGGAAAATTGTCCAAAAAGTCCTAAATATATTGCTAATTCAGTTTTAAACTTTTCAATTTTGCCAATTGAGTCCTAAACCTTTTCATGTTTTACTAATTGAGTCAATCTAGCCAATTTTGGCTGGAAATTGCTGACATGGACACTGGCCGTCTTACGTGGCGCAGTCGGCGTTGACGCAGATAATTTTTATAATATTTTAATATTTTGTCGAAATTTTTATTAACTGATGCCGGAGCATTCCTTGAAGACGTCAAGTTGTTGATCTCATCAATCAACTAACAAGTTGTCGATTTGCAAGCCAATGGTCGATTCCAAGTTGACTCATCGATCACGACGTGCCGAATGCTGTTCGGTTCCTCAAAAACATGAATGCCATTAATTCAGTCTTTGGAACTAGTAATCCATGGAGACCCACAACCAATTAAACTTAATTCTCATCTTTTCAAGGTCTAGTAAGTGTTGTTCAAGTTTCTAGAGTCCTTATATAATTATGGTTGTTTTTTAATAAATGTTGTTTGTCTTTCCTATGAGTCTTTTGTCTTTCCAAAGAATCTTGATAATTACTTATGCTTGGAGGGTTGTTCCATGCTCATCTATATAAGTATGCTATGATGAATGAGAATACAAGACTTATTTGATTCAAAACTTAATTGAGCCTTTGGCTAGAGAACAAGAAGGATTTCTTGTTTTACTCTTATCCTTTTGATGGATTTTTACGGATGGCGAGTATTGCTCTTATCTGTTAGGTTAATTACCTACGAGTGGCGAGCGACCTATCTATTGAAGTTTTCACTTGTGTTACCTCCTACTTCTCTACACTTTCTCAGGCGTCATTAATTTTTTATTTTTTTCTTTGCTTTTTTCTTTTCTTTTTCTTTCTCTTGTCCTTCTTCACTACTTTCTTACTGTGGTCGGCGACCGGCGAGGGCCCAACAACCCTTGTTGGCCACTAGGCGAGGGTCGTCGGGCCCTCTCCAGCCGTGGGCAAGGGCCAGGACTCCCTCACCTGGCCTCGCTTGATTGCGTGAGGCCATCGCGTGGTCGCGGGTGAGGGTAGCCTCGCTGGCCTCAGGCAAGGTTGGTCGCCCGTAGCCACGATGGCCTCGCCGAAATCTGGGCGAGGGTTGCGACCTTCGCTTGCAGCCGGCAAGGGCCCGGCGACCTTGCCGGCCACAGTGAGAAAGCAGTGTAGAAGGAAAAGAGAAAGAAAAGAAAAAATACAAATAAAAATAAAAAAAAACGTTAAAATATTATTAAAATTTGTTCATGTCAGCATCGACCGGTGCTGACGCCACGTAGGACGGCCAACATCTACGTCAGCGATTTCTGGTTAAAATTGGTCGAATGAGCTCAATTGGCAAAATTGAAAGTTTTACGACTAAATTGGAAAAAGTGAAATAGGTTAGTACTTTTAGACAATTTTCCCAATTAAGTAGTGGTCCGAGAATATGAAAATAAGTTGACAGTCTCAATTGGATTCCTTTCTCGTACTTAGCGAGTGTTATGACTAAGTAGTTTATTGCTGATACAAATAATTTGACATTATGGCGTGATTAGCTTTTCATATGACTGACACGATCATAACATATGAGCTGTGATGCAATTCACTTTCTTGTTTATTAATTACTCACGTTGGAAATAGATCATTTTCATATGTATATCTTAAGCTATCGAGGTCTAGACGATGATTGATTTTTTACTTGGTTCTCACCTATTTTATTTTCGAACAAACACTTTGCAATATGATAAAAGCATGACCGGTTCTTCACACAGGAAAATAATTTTGGTCGCTCATTGATATCGGATTATGTAGGAGATACACGATGCCGATGATTATATCCTCGATTCGATCCATCTGTGGACTAAATTTCATTATTTCACTCTTCGCCACCATAGCCTTCCTACACATGTGTATTGGACACACTAAGAGGATTGAAGAAGCTATAAGTACCTTCAAGTGGATTGTGATTGGTCCTCATGAAACCAAGTTGACAGATAACCAAGTTAGCGCGGACGTTACTCTTACGAGGTGGTGCTTATACTTGGTTTCGATTCTCCCAAATCCTACTGGTCGTGACTTTGGTTGACTCGGTTAATTATGTAAATTTCTTTTTCACTTATGGAAGCACCACTAACCTATTGGAGGCCAATTTGAGGCCAAGTAAAATGCGGGATATCATTTTACTTTCACGAATAAGAGATTTGGGTTCGAGGACTTGGTTACGCTAAATTGTATTTAATGCCCAAACTTGGTACCTCTTCTCTCTGTTTTGAAACAATTTATTCATGCAATCTTGGTCATTTTAAAGCTCCTACGCACATATGCGATCATGCATTGTTAATTTGCTTAATTACATCAACCATTCACATAGCAACACAATATCAAAACAAATAAATAAATACATAAATATAATAACGTAACATAAAGTGCGGAAAATAAACCCGATAGAATATTGGGCTAAGAATATCTCACCGCCATGTTATTAAAGACCGAGACAGGACCCCGTGAGCTAATACTAAAAAATAAACGTGCACCTATCCTTTTTTATTAAATGATGCATGCTTCTTAATAAAATAAAATAAAAACTAAGCGATGATCACATAAGACAAATAATGGACTATGGTCAAATATAAACTAAACTAACCCTACTCATGCAAGTCATTACCAAGTAACAACCCAATTTTAGTATTTTAGATTACATGCATCTTAAAGCTAATCGATGTTAATGATCTACCAACAACGCTAAGTGCCCCTAACTAAAATGTTACTACAAAAAAATAAATTCCCACTAAATGCAAATTCCATTATTTTAACCTTTTCCACTTATCATTTTTCTTGCCATTTTCAATTTAATACCTAAAATAACAAAATCTAACACCTATGCTACCCTAAAATGTGCTCATATGCCACAAATTGAGCTAAAAATAATGTATAGCTATTTTGAACTTAACTACTCCGAAATATGGGATTCATCACTAAAATGCCAATTTCTTGCTTTTTCTGTTATCATTTTTTTTCACTTTTTTTCTATCTATTATAAAGATATCATGATTATGCATTTAAATGACCCTAAACATGACGCTGCACCACTAATAAACCATAACGACCCAAATTTCACCATATTAACGCCTAAATATGCGATTTTAACC